TTTCATGAAATGAACCAAAATATTTATTGGCGGCTATGTAAAAACACTCACCCTATTCTCAGCATAAATAATCTGAACTACACTCTGATGTTTAGTCTCATGAGGTATAGGTTCAGGAGATGGAGACTTCTCAGGATCTGCTGGTCTAGTTGCATTTTCTTCTAACTCATGCTGCAAGCAACAAAATGACCAGGTCTAATTAAAGGACGATGGTCTTTGTGCAAAGTTTGAATTTCTCGTGAACAAAACAAAGTATTTCACACGCTGTGTGTATGATGCTATGAGTCTCATAACGAACAGGATAATAATGAAAAAAGACAAACCGGTACATTAAAACACGTATTAAAACATACAACGATAGAAATCTGGACGATGAAGTTAAGAACACGTGTAAATCTTCAATATTACCACAAAATAATGCTAAAACACAATTTCATGCAATAGTGTAATAGGCTGAACTTCATGCTGTGTTTTACTTTTGCTTGTTGTGAATTATTTGCTCATAATTGCTAAATTGTGCAGCAACAAACATTTCACTTGGGTTTTAAGACACATAGTCAGGTCTTTCCCCAAATGGTGTCCTCGCAAATGCCCTTATGCAAATCATGAAAATTCTAATAGCAGAAATTATATAGATCGCATAATTTCAGGCTTTATTAAAAGCACATCTCAAATAGAAGAACATATTAATAAACACAAATCATTTTTGAACAATGAAATATGTCTTTATTTGGATCCTGGACACACCTCAGTCATTTACATTAGCAGAATTGCTGCTATTAGAGCAAATACGATATGTACATGTATCATGTTGGCTTCCAAAAACCAAAAAATCACAGTCTAGTAAATATCCACGCAATGTCAAATCCCATATAATGCATCCCAGTAAATAATATTCCCTTTTTATAGAATGTAAAAATTTGTATAAATTTACCTGTTTCTTCTTGAGGTTATTGATTTGAGATTCAACCTTAGCGATCTCTCTATCTACTTTCTCCATTGACTGTAACAACTCTTCCTTTGACAGCTTAGAAGGCAACTCTTCATCACATGGAGTGGGTGAAATGGCTTCCACTTTAGGTACAAAGGGAGGCTCCTATAATCCAACACATTTAATGAAATTTTTGAGAATTTTTCATGTCATAAAAAATGTTAGATCTTGAAGGTCTTTTTACAATGTCATGCCAAGATCAGGTGCAAGGTTATAATATTAGTAATGTCACTGAACTGGCCAAAAGATGCTATTTTAGGTACAATGGAGGTTTTTATAATCGAAACATTCAATGAAATGAGAGGAATTTTCATGTCATAAAATGTGTCCAATCTGATGTTCTGCCAAAATTGCAAGTGGCAAGGTTATAATGTTAATCAGGTCATTGAACTGGGCAAAATATGCCAGAACAAGTTTAATTTGGCATCCCTGACTAAAATAAAGACAAAAATCAGGTCAGTTATAATAACATCAAGTTCATGTGCAGGGTTATTATTATTATTTGTAGTTTTAGTTTTACCATTGTATTATTTTGATGTTGTTATCATGAATCGATTATGCATTGTTTTCACCCTCGTTTTTTAATTAAAAAACATCACATTTTACCAAAAATTACAATTGAAGAATTGAAGATAT